ATCCGAGAGTCAAGCAGCCGTTGGAAGTAGTAACTTCACTTGGCCCAACTAAGCTCTCCTCAGGTTGGTTTTTGCTCGGGTCAGCTGATAACAATGGGTCCCTCTCGGGAACATGGGAATATCATGGGCCTAGGCGATTGAGGTTAATTTCAAACTGAGTGATACGACTTTTTGAAGGTCAGCTGAGGGATAAGTCGGTGTTTTCCTTGGTTCCTCCGCTTTAGATTAGCCCACTCCGATGATATGGAGTGTTTAGCTGGCCAAGGTGAATTTAATCCACGTTTGAGCATGCCCGTGATAGTGGCGGCTAAGTCCCTCAAGACTTGAGAAATAGAGGGTTTTCGTATCATCAACATTTCTATGGTTTTGGCCTAAAGAATACTTAAACATCAGAGGAAAACTCCCAAAAACAGTAGCAAAAGTCAACTGTAGCTGACCTAAAAAGGTGTCTGAAATAGAAAAACGAAGTCAACATTGCAACAAAACGACAATGCGCGATAATGATCCCAACACCATGGTGCGTGCGATTGCATAGTTAGATACCGAACGGGAACGAATCTTTCGCAGGCGATTTTCTTCTCAGACATCACTTCAGAGCAGTGCAATTCGTTGAACTTTTTAGATCTACGATTTGCTACTTCGCTCTAACATGATGAGCGCAAACCATCCGAGCACTGGGTCACCAACGCGCATCACCGGATGATACCCGACAGATGTATACGGTAGATTACAAGTGTTGCCTATGTGGATAGGAATTTAGGCTGGCTTCGGTTTGTGAATAGACATTGGAAAGTGTTAAAGAAAGACAATTCGCATTTTATTTCGAAAATCCACCAAGAGAGGCGAGTTATGGGCAAAACTTCGGCCTCGAACGGGACTCGAACCTGAACCTTTCTTGGCACCGTGCTAAACACTTACACTACCGAGACTCTGTTCACCTTCACTTTCCTAATGGCTTTTATGCCATACCCCATTTCGCTCATATTTCGTTAGTTAGTGCCGTCACCTGAGCTGAAACTGGTGGACTTTTTAGCTATTGACGATTATGTCTTAGGGCTTTCGGATCAGTAGAAGGCGATTATAGGAGGAGAAATGGAAGGGTAATGAATCCTCCATTCTAAACGGCAACAACTACGATCTGTGGAAATAATGCAGCTAATACTGTCAAAGTACTTTCGCTGTAACAACAAGGACTATGTTGTTTATTTATGTTGATGTTTATGGGCAGACGGCAGCGTTCGATCCTCTGAGATTGGGAATGTGAGCAGCGTCCTTAGCAGACGCGCTATCCCTTTTCCAAAGATGCTTATCCCATCCAGCTTCCTGTTCAGATCAAGCAAGTAGCTTATTATGAAAATTGTTTACTCAAGTAGATTTCGATCCGACGATCCCTAGGTGGGTGATGACACTCCTTGTCGTCTTTACGCTATCGCCCCTTAGTACGGATGAGCAAATATTCATCAAGTACGTGCCTTGGCTGCTCCCTGTTCCGGGATTCCCACTAGCTGTACCTATAAAAAAAATTGATGATTGGCTTTCCTAGGTCGCCTTGTACGTCCTCTGTCGGGCTCTGAGAAAGAGTAGGGGTAACTATCTACCAAATTGAATTTTATTATCTGCGATTTGTAACTTGGACTTATCCATTCGATGCTACGCAATGTCCCAATGTGGCTGAACTACGACCATCCTGTAGGCCCTGCAACAGCATGATGGGTACTTTTAATTGAAAACAAAACATGATTTGCAATTCAAGTTCAAATTTTCCATTGAAAGGTAGTAATCTTACGATAAGATCTGAAACAAAATTCTGAAAATAGTAACATTCATGGCAGGACTGTTTACAAGAAAGAAGATGACGTCAACAGAAGTGGTAAATGATTCGAAACTGGCTTATATCTCAGTTACCCTCTTAAAACTGTACTTTCTGCCCGAATATCAGATTTTCTCTGCTTCTCTGATGCCTCGTTTGCTCTTGCATCTCATAAAAAATCTTTAACTGCACGAATGTGGTTTTTGTTGGTAATGATGGAAAGATCTATAGATGATAGATATGTGCAGTCGATTAATTGGCTAACATTAGCGAACTGTCTTCGATTTCAAAAGGTCAGTCACGTTTTCAGATAAGAGCGATTTTGAAAATGGTGAAAACGGCGATAGAGTAACCCGGTAGCTTTGTAAGCGTTCTAACTGGTTGGGAGCTCTACAAAGGACTCTTGGAAGCCTATTCGGGAGTATTCGACGGAAATCAACGAAAACTGCACAATGTATCATTGACTGGAAATGGAGTGATCAAGCAATATGCGTATGCGCCGTGCATTCACTTTCCTCTTGGTGTTATGAAGATATGGTTCATTGTCCACCGTGACTATGCCATACCGATTAGGTGATTCCGTATGAAGCTTAAGTTTGCGGGAAATCAATTACGAGACCCTGCCAGTAGCAACCATTTTTCGTGAATGCTACTCCGTTTACTAATTTTTTTCCTTTTAGACCTAAGACAGGATACCCGTATCCGAGGAAAAATCCTTCCTATCCTTATCAGCTGAAATTGTGTTCGTGGTGCTGCGAGGCATTCACTGGCATTGCGCGTCCAAACGGCAACCGACAAAAATTCCTCTCTTTTTTTCGTGAGCCGCCAGTTGGCTTATTCGTCTTTCATGGCCAAAAATAAAAGCGGGACTCGCTGCTGATAAGTGAATCACCTGCGGCAACCACGCCTACTGAAGGGGCCCCGCCCCTTCACCTTTTAATAAGTTTGGTTTTTCTATCAAATACTATCACTCAGCATTCAGCGGTTATTCTTAAAATACCTTTCAGTCTCACTATGGCATGCCTTGGTCCCTTCTGTGGCTTGACGGATAAACTTGTAAAGTGTTGGTCGCTTAACTGCTAACAGGCTACTGGAGAACAAAGAAATACAGTTTCTGGCTACGTGCCAACAAAGTGCTACCGTAACCTTGTTGGGTGGCGTTGTTTTTCGAAGGCTGGTTCACTTTTCAGACGCATGACCTTATGGGTCCAATGAGCTACTGAACTTCAGAATTTCAACTGTTGAATCAATAAGATGCTTGAATCTCGAAGAATCATGCGAAAACAACGAATACTCCACATAAATATAGGGGTAAACAAAAAAGTGCAAAACAAAATATTGCTGGAGTAAATACGATGGAAATGGAGAAGTAAACTAGAATAGAGCATTGTTTTCGGAATTAAGGAAAGAATCGAAAAATAGTCCGATAAGCCTGCAGGAGATAAAATTATTTATGTAGCGGCTGCTGAAATTCAATCCAATTTATTATTAATAGTAGGTACGCTCAATCTTAATCGTTATATGATCATCACAGTTGTAAAGCCTATTCGAAGAATATTCGTAAAATGAAAAAAAANAAAAAAAACCCAAATATTTTTCTGTCACTAGCCACTACTCGAGGCTTTTTTCAGAACTTAGCGTGATTATTTTTATTATTTTGTTTGACTTTTTTGTTACTACTTGATATCTTCATGATCAGTTTTTGCTCCACCTAGTTTCTAGTAATAATCCATCATTTTTGTCTAAATTTAAGGGGGTAATAAAACTGATTCTCTAAATAGCGTAAGTCTGGATTGAATTTTTGAAGGGTATCTGAAATGATATGCTTTTGAACTCATCTTTGCAAGCAGTATTAATAATTAGTAGTTATTCCTAGATGGATAGTATGGATTTGTGAGCTATGTATGGGTCGAGGACGACTTACAATTAGCAATGGGCCTCATATTCGGGAACCAATCCCATTCAATACAATCTAGTTTTTTATTCTTACGAAAACACTGACTCTCAGAGAATCCTACTATTACTCCCCGTAAAGGTAGAAAGTAATTGAAAAAAAATCAGCGATTTTCACCTAGAGTTGAATGTATGGCGCACACCGTGGGTTGTAGAGTATTTGAAGCTGGGGTTATCCTTTCACATTTTCCTTATCCGTCCATACTCTTAGAAATGAAGCCGTTTCCATTGTAGTGCCTACCATTGATGGTGATCGGAAATTGGAAATCGGTTCCTTCGATTTCGAAATGAAATGCTATTCGAACAGTACGATCAACACGCCGAAAAGACCAAATTTTATATTTTGGATGAAGTAAGTTTTGGTTTTTGAAAACACATGTTTATCTCCTTTAACCTTTTTCTATTTCTCCACCTATTTTTTGAACTATTGGATTGAATTGAGCAGTTTCGTAGCAGCCAGACGATCGCATTCTTCCCAGTGGTCTATTTTCATATGAGTGGAAATTTTTTAAGAAAAATTATCAAAAAGTAATGATTCACATATGAAAAGGCTAATATTGAATGGGAACGAAGAATAGAGATGAGACGGAATGAATATGTGTCATCCGGAAGAAGTCTATCTCAGATTGTGAATTTTGATTATACTATCTTTCAAATTCGTAACCTCCTGGGCTTTTACAAGGTCTCCTACTTAAAAGGATAGCTCCAGCTGAAAAAAAAAGTAGGCTATGAACATCCCTGGGAAAGTCGTTGCCCCATGGGGGTTAAGAGATTCGTTAAGGTTCCCTTTGTGATTTTCTTAATTGGTTTGGTTATATGTCCATTACAAGGGCACCGATTCAAAAGCATTATGAACAAGGAAAGCGAACGGCGATCGTCGAAATGAAGGGCGAGGAACCATGATCGTAGGTGAGTGCGAGTGTATGGTATGAAGAGGGAGGGTTATGTTCATGGAGGACGAGACACGGTAGAGGGGAAATGAAACAACCTGTTTCGCATTGGCATTTTGGCTCTAAGGCCAAGCGATAAGCATCTCATCCCCACTCGAACGAACAGTTGCACATTAGGCAGACCGATTGACTGACAGACAGATAGGCAAAACACACTCATACACAAAGGCATGCAGACTCCTTTTCAAGTGGAACTGAACCAGTGGAATAGGGAAAATTCGACTACAAAACAATAATGGGGTCTTCCTAGGAGCTTCTGAGAGCTAACGAACCGTGAACTCTTCATCATGGGCACTCCAAGACACTCTACTGAGCTTTGTTAGAGGTTGATGTAGTCGGGAACCACGCGTACAAGCTTTCCAGGAATCATCCTCGATCCGACCATTATCGAAGAGTTCTATATGAGTGAGCTTCTGGTATCAAAGATGAGTCCTTGCTTCGTTAATGAATTCATTCAAACGGGAGGCGGAAAGGCTCTCTAAGGGGTGACCCTTTTCAATTTCTTCGTGGACAGAGTCAAGTTTTTTTTTTTTGCAACGTTGGCCTACGCTTTCGGAATCGACAACCTCATTGAAGTCACGATCGGGCCAGTACGTGTTCAGTTCGTGTCGCAGAGCCAAAGAGCAGTACATATTCCCGCAAGCCAATGGTAGGTCTTACGCTCCTGGACGAAAATCGAGCACGTGGGAGCAACCTACAACGGCCTATCGCGTTAGTGGGTGGTGTTGGTAAATCAACAAGGGCAGCCGGGTTGTGATTCAGGCCTGGAATCGGCTACATCTTATGGCAGAGACATAGGTTGGTGGGGCCGATTCAGGGCTTGCACCATTTCTCAGGCAATACGTACCTAGCATACTACAAGTTATGTATGGTGAGCCAGTCCTACAAAATTTGAGTCAATCGCCGGAACACCACAATTTAGACGAAATATTCTATGTGAAGCTTACCCATACGAAATGGACGTGTCGGGTTGACATGAAGCGAATTGCAGTCTAATGTCGCTTGAAATGTCGTATGTATGTGATGCTAATATTTGCCAAGAAAACCATCATAATCACCCAATTCGAACGTTTTCTTAACGGCACCATTCTTCAACTTTCCTCACCCCTTCTTGTCGAATTTGCATTCAGGGCAAATCTCTAGCAGTTTGATGGCAACGCTTTTGGAGTAGAATGGTTACAGATTCATTGGTTACACTGTGGTACTCTGTTTCGAGCAGAAACAGAGCTTTGCATTGTTGAGGGCAGTAGTGAAGCCCCACTCTATGATTCCTATCTATCGCTGCTTTTCATTCTGCGTTTGTAGTTGTGTCTTCTGTGGCACACATAGTTAACCAGGTCCAACACCCTGTACGATTTGGCTCAGCAGTACGACTGTAGAAAGCTTAAAGTCTGGTTTGGGACGCCCCTGCGGTAAAAGCATAGGCAAAAAGTGCTGAGATTCTAAATGGAAGCCGACTGAAAGAAAGTCTCTTATGGCAAGTACACTGCTCTTTTGATGTTTACGGATGGCGAAAGTCTCAGGGAAGCGATTCACTGTTTCTTTTTTCTTTATGTAGTTGCATTTCCTAATCAGGAGAAGCTACGCTATCGATAAATAAGTAAGTAATAAATCAGTATTCATGAATGTAGCTTCGAGCTTCAGGCATAGGTGAACGAGACCTGGGCCTACTTCTGAATAGCTTAAATATTTCATTGTATTAGGGAAAGCGGGCATCGCACTTGCAGTTGTACACATGAAATGGGCGGAGTCAGGGGCGGGCAGAGTCCTCGTTCACCAATCAGAATTATCTGAACTACGCCAATGAGTAATGTATTCAAGTGAGAAACTAGTTCTCCTAATTTACTTCAGGGAGGATGTTTGAAACGTTTGCTGTGGGCGAGCTAAAGCTAGCTGTAGCTAAAGTTGGCGGGCCGTGCAGAGGCTAAAAACGTTCACAGAACAGTCTTCTACAGTCTGGCTTTCCATTCCCACACTTGGCCAGTCGGAGTCCCTCTGCATTTGAGAAGAAATCTATGAAGTTTGAGAAGCATTTAGAGGTGAGGGGTGGCCAAACGCTCACGCGATCCATTTTGGGAGCACTACAGTCACGTCACAAGCAGCTGTCGTATAGGGTGCGCTCATGCAATTCAGAATCGTAGTTTAGCTCGAATATGTGTTTGGCCCATACAATGACTTGGGTCAGGCAACGTTGAAACCATCGTTCTAACCTCCAAGCATGGAATTAAAGGCATAGCAACTTGGTGGGTGTTTTTCAAACCGACGAAAGATATCCGGAATGAGATCTAGTAAAAGTAATACAGAGTTAGGGAAGGGATTATTATAGGATGTAATCGATACCAATCTTTTTACATTTGATAATTATACAGCGGCAGAATATCACGACCAGGTAAAAAGGAACGTAAGCGGAATTGGTCGGAAAACTCGCATAAAGAGAAATTCAGCTAATCAGTTGATAAGACAACGACACTCCAACAGTCGAATTGCTCTGTCACGCCTTGGCGATAAAGTTCGAATGCGTTTGAGAGCAGCCGTAAAAACTAAACTCGCAACCAGATGCCTTTTGTGCAAAGGAACTAGCCGGGTATAATTTCATTGGTAATAACCCCTGAAAATCTGAAATGCGCCATGTACTCATTCTTACTCTCGAACACTACTGGTTGGTTGAAGGAGTATATTTGGTTTACGCTCTTAAATTGTGACAGCAGAAGCTTCTCCAACGAATTCATTGTTTCGAATGGCAAACACGAAGCTGAGCGTTCTCGACCACCAGAATTTTATTTCATTCCCTCACCCTAACCTTTGACCGATTCCCTATGAGTATTATGAAGGAAAGGTAGCTTTATGAGCCGAATCCTCTCAAGCAGACACTTCATACTCCTCGAATATGCGTATAAGTCCTGTTATGAATGCTTCCTTTACTTTCAAAACAGGCTTCATCAAAGCTATGTGAATCATTTCAGGGATAGGTCGTGCGCATTTGCGTCTTGGACACCCGTGAATGGTTGGCCTTGCCGGGTATCTAGTCCGAACTCAATCTTGGGACCACGTAAGTGATAGCTGTCACACCAACTCGATATTTTTCATATGTAATGATTTTACCAATTAAAGGTATCTTTGCCACTCAGTCATTTAGCACATGGTGGTCATAATATGTAATTTTCTTTTCAGGACCTGCTCACTTCTCAGCGTTCCTTGCCCAACACAATGTGCCACTTCGACTTATTCCTCACCACATCTACAGTCTTATCATGTCGAGATCCTTCAAATAGAGATTATCCTTTTTAATAATCTAATAATCATCGTAGTGCCATGGGAAAACAAACGTCGTAACCTTTTGATCGCCACCAACATTTGCTCAGTGATAGTCGCGCTTAACGACACAAGGGTTTATACTGCCCTTAAATGGTATCTTTCGTTAGTCACGTTTGGCCTTCCATATCGTCATTATTAACATCTATATATATATATATATATATA